AGAAAAGCGAATAGTCCTTTTGGATTTACATAGAAAGCTTGAAAAATTGGCTGAAACCTACCCAATTGCTCTTGATGGTCCATTGCTCTTGAAAGATAAGGAATTAGACTTGGGAGCAAATGAACCTAAAGTAGATCTTAATGAAGGAATTAAATTTCATCAAATGAAAGACTATGAAAATGCATGGGATTGTTTTGAAGAAAATGCTAAGCTTGGTAATCCAATAGCAAAATATTGGCAAGGATATTATTTATATAATGGATATTTAAAAATAGATAAAGAACTTGCATATAAACTTTTCAAAGAAGTTGCAGATGATAATGACATTGAAGAATATCAAGGTACAGTTTCTGATGACCAATATCAGAATGCAATTTCTGATGCACCATATCGATATGCAGTTTCATTACTTAATGATGCAAGTAAAAGAGTAGAAAATCGGGATAAAATTATACATTATCTAGAATTAGCAAAAGAAAATAATAATCCTGAGGCAATGTATCTTTTGGGAGATATTTATGTGAATGGAAAACTTCAAATGGAAAAGGATATAAAGCTAGGATTAGAATATTTAAATTTAACTTTAAAACATAATGGTCCAAGTAGGGGAGATGCAATTAATTTATTGAAAAAGTTTAGTGAAAAAAGTTAAGTTTATTATTTAAGATAATGATAAATGAGATAGGTGTTGATTAAAATTTATTTCATTATATTAGTTATGTTTTTTTATCTGATTTAACTTCGTAATATATATAATATACCATTTATTCTCTGGAATAAATAATAAATATCGTCATTTTAAAAGCATAATCACAATTCTGTTTAATAAAATATAGAAATTGCAGAGCGTGATCATTGATTATTAATAACTTTTTAGGCCTTTAAGCAACACGTGTGATTGAACCTCTTTTTATTTCGCAGCGAATTTTGTAACCGGATAAAATAATACTGTACATCGAAAGAAAAGTTATTAATTACAGTAACCCAAAAAATTCAAATTCTCGCTTCTTTATAATGAATTTGATTTATTTATAAAAGTTCTGCCATAGTAAATAACATAGGTACTGTATAATAAAATATAAAAATATGTTAGATTTATAGAAGATAAACCGTATATGTTTCTATAAATATTGCAAAATTTAACTATACATAGTTAATTACTAAATTATTGTAATGTAGCGATAATGAATTATTGTGTTCCAATTTAGTATCTTATTTTGAATGTACTTAATTAAATGTTATTTCAATACAAATATTAAAGAATATCAGTCAAAATTTAGGCGTTTAACACATTTGCTTACTAATACAAGTCCAAAATAATGAGTATTATGAAATATAACTTAAAACCATTATTTATTAATATTTCTTACTTGTATTTACTGGTGCATTTATTGGTTTAGGGAATGTTCAATGAAATGGGTTTGTTTAACCTTATGATAATTACATAATTTATATGCATGTTAGTCAATTTTATGAGAGAGATTATCTTAACAAAAAAAGTTTGAAATATGAACTTTCAAAATCTACTCAAAAGAATGCTATGTTTTTTACATTTGGGGATATTATGGCACACTATGTATCACTATGTGTTTCGAATTATATTTCAAATGAAGAAGAATAATAAAAATTAAAGAATTTTCGATTCTGATTAGTGTATCGTACTAGTGCGTCAAATTACTCACCCGCATCATAATATCTTTATAATTTAAGATTTCATAAATAATCTTTGAATTGTTACGTGTAATTCATTCTACTATTCTTTAATTGCTCCTTTAATATTCTTCTTAAAATTTTACCAGCCTCATTTTTTGGAATTTTACCAATAAACTTTACACCACCTCTTAATTTTTTACGCGACGCAACCTTTTCGTTTACAAAATGTTGAATTTCTTCCGCTAAAGCTTGAGATTGTTCATATCCACTTTTAATTGTGATATAAGCTACAGGAACTTCAGTTTTTTCTTCTTCAGAAAAATGTCCTATTACTGCTGCATCTATTACTGCTCCGTGCTTGTTTAGAATCAATTCCAATTCAGTGGGTGCCACATAAAAATTCTGTAAATTTAATTTTGGTATTAGTTAAACTTAAAAAATATAATAACCAAACCAACCGAATACCAGTACAATATTCATCACAATCAGAACCAATACCTACTGTAACCACAAGAAATGGACAAGCTAACAAATGGAATGCGTATAAAGATGATTATAGTGATTACAATAATTATACATACAAATACGTGTAACAATTCAAATTGAAAATTAGCATTCTTGCATTTGTAAAATTTTTCACTTTTAATAGGCGTTTAGTAGTTTTAAACAAAAAAAAAAATAATAATAATAAAAAAATAAACTTTAATATCAAATAACTTTTGAACCAGAAATCTGTTTAAGATGATTTTACTACCAAAATATTCATTTCAATGAAATGATTCTAATAAACCTTAAATCGTTAAAATCCAATTTCAAGAACCTGAGATAGTTATAGATTTGTATTATTTTAATATAAATTAATTAAAATAATACAAATCTATAACTATCTCAAG